GGAGAACTCATCTGTCTCTCAGGATACCCAGCAACAGTATCTCAACCTCAAGGTCAGGATAAAAACCCAAGTCATCAGATTCCAATGGCTGCACCCTCATCCACTCTGAGTGCTGTTTACCAGATACTTCCCATCCTGTTTTCTATGGTTTCTTGGAGACTGGAAGATGGCTTGGATAATTACTCCAGGTCCTGTTCAGCAAAGCCTAAGAATCCTGCTTTGAGGGTTGGTTTGTGACAATAGAAGGATGAAAAATATTCAGGTCAGATGGAACTGAGTTCAAACCCCTGCTCATCTATCTAGCTGTGACTCTGGCCAAGATGTATAACCTCTTGAAGCATGGCAAACTGCGATTTCATGTATACAAGGTACTTAGTGTGTACTGCGAAAGTAAATGTTAAATATGGGTACACGGTTCTGGCAAAGCATTCATCCATCAGATGAGTGGTTCATTTAGTATTCAATGTACATACACTTGTCAGAGTGTTGATCCTTGATTGTAGTTAGTTGGCAGCAGTAAGATGATGCAAGATGCCAGCTCTCTTCCCACTGGTAGAGAGGGACAAAATGGAACCACAGAAGTGTTTGCACAAGGACCCTGACTGCCAGAGCACAAGAGCAGGGCAGGGGAAGTCACACAAGAATCTTGTTCTTAAAGCTGTTTTTTTTCTGTTCCCCTCTTGCTTTGTTTGCACTGATTGAGCCAGTGGTTCTAGGGAGCATCCTCATGAAGTATTCAAATTCTTAAAAATAAAATCTTTTTTTTAACTAGACTTCAGGCAGGAGGTGGGAGAAGGTGTCCAACAAAACAGGAAGCTTCAATGACCATTCTACTGCATGCCGGCTTGTATTTTCACTTCAGTGGTAGCACACTTAAGCGGAAGGATGGAGCCTATTCTTTAACAATACATCTATACACGTGACATGAATTTGCCATACAATGTTTACCAATTCAGTGATTTTAGGTCTTGCAAAGGTTTCAACAGAAGCCTCAGAAAGCACTAAAATGAGGAAAGGATTTTACTGAGTGTGGCACCCAAAAACCTTAAGAATCCCAGTGATTCTACTAGTAGAGAACAATACGGTGAGGCTGGCACAGGACCGGGCTGTGTTTCATTGTTGTACACAGGGTTGCTGAGTCAGAGCCAACTTGACAGCACCTAACAATGGCAACTATACTGTGCTATCATAGAAGTGTGGGTTCAGTGGGGTTACAAGTACCTTTGGAGGTCAAAAAGTTATGAATGGGGTGCTTTGAAAAACTGGTTTTGAAGAACATTTGTAAAATACGAAATAAACATAAGGTGCTGGGTGGAGCAAGTGGGTGTGTATTTATGTGCCTATAACATAAGTCAAAACTGGAAAGCTATAGGTAGGTTCCAGTCTACAGATAGCTTTGGATGGTAGGTTTGGGATTTACTCAAGAACAACAAATCTTTGGGCACAAGTTGAAATTAGCAAAAATGTTTTAGCAGAATGAGATCTAGAAGAGGAGATGAGTCGGGGAGATAAGTGAGTGAGCTAGCAAGTGTCCAGGTGAGTCAGAGAATCAGGGACTGAAAAGGAGTGTAATTAAGAAATGATGGAGGGGTTTAAGAGGAAACAATTGGCAAACAGAAGGATTAAAGACTGAGGGGATAAGGGAATTCGATGACATAGTTGAAGGTGATCAAATTTTAAGGAAAGAAGAGGTGGGGGTAGACACAAGATGAATTTTATTTCTAAGTGTTTTGACTTGAGGTACCAGAAGGACATCCTGGAAAGAGAGGTGTGAACAAAAGACATGAATTTGTGCAAGAATTTTCAGAAGTGGAGGAGGTTTCCCAGAGAGGTATGACAAACAGAGATAAGAACTCTAAGTAAAATTAGAGTATAACATCTAAGGTCTAGATATGGCAGAGCCAGTTGAGAGTGATACAGGGTCAGAAAAGTAGCAGCCCAAGTTGATAGTGTGGTCAAGGTTACAGTGCTCCTGACTTTGGCAATTAAAAGGTTATCGGTATCTTTCAATTTTCTGTGGCAGAATTGGACTGGCATTTCTCATACTGATATCCACCCTACATCTGCATCAAATAAACAAATGCCAACCCACTGTGTTTGCACAGAGCAAAGAGGAAATGCTTGTAACACCCCCCACAGCTGAATTCTTGACACACTAATTGACATGCTAGGAAGGAGGAGAAAGATGAAAAGCAGAAGCCAGACTTTTGGGATTCTTTTGTAGTGAAGGGAAAGTGTGGAAGGATATAGTCCTTAGAGGATGGTAGATTAGAAACTACTTTCAAAGCAAGCAGGTAAAGAGATCAAGACTCGGACAGCAGCCCTGGGAAGACACTTTTTCCTCTGACAGGCTGTATTAGATTTTTGAGAAAAAAGGGGTATGAAATCTTAGCACAGCCATATTCTTATATAACAAGGACTGCTGTTCCTAAATTACAGCCAGTTGCTCTAGAACCTGTGCCAAAGTGGTATATATAGCATCAGGGAGTCTCCTCTGAGGCCTCATTTTCAAGTTTCTTTTTAATGTACCTCCCTACATAGGCACATGTCAAATATTAAGCTAAATATGTTGTCACTGGATGCAATCATAGCCAAGGAAAGAGTACAGACAGGGCACACACTGATTTGCAAGAGCTGCCAGACTCCAGAAAAGTTTTGTTGTAGGCTGTGCTATTATGTTGTACGTTTTAAGTTTTTATTAAAAAAAAAAAGTAAAAACAAGTATTTTATTTGGAAAGCCAATTATTTATGGTTCATCCCGCTTGTTTCCTTGAGATTGTGGGGATTCCCAGAAAGTGAAAATACGTAAAAGAGTATCTGGGCTACAAGGTATGTTTAAAACATGACATTTGGGAGAGAGAGAGTACCTATTGTGGTAGTGAAAAGGCAGCAATGATACAGCAAAGGGTTAATATGCTCAGGATTAGTGATTACTAAGCAACTGAAACAGCTGGTCTCGTTTTTTTTCACTTAATAAAAATTTAGGGGTAGATTCAACTCTTCACTGTTTTTGTTGAAATACAATTTCAACACTCTAATATGAATTGTATAGCTAATAACCTATACTCATTTACGATCTCAAATTTTTTCATATGATACATCATAACTTCAGTACTATAGTGATAATAAAACTTGAGAGAACTGAAGAGTACAAATTTCTTCACAAATTTATTATATAAAATGTCCTCAGAGTATCTAATTCTCCTGTTCTCACCTTCATTACACATTAAGAAGTACAATGGATGAGAGGCCATTTTAAATGACTGAAGTTTCATGAGGGTCCCTTGCATCAAGGCAGTGTACATACCTTAACAGTGTTCTAAAGGATGGCCCACAAGAAACCCGTATTACTTTATCATAATATAGAAAGCATGGTCTTCTTTTCCCATTAAATTACGGTGAAAATGTCACTGTTTTATTTAGCATTATGGTACATAACAATTATCTCTCAATTACTAAAATAATTTATTAAAATAATCCTGAAAGACATCTCTTTTCCCCTCCAATGATCTGAAAGCTGTACTTTTCATGCCAATCTCAAACAAATCATCAGTTTGATCTGTAACAGGTTGATCTGTAATAATTCAAACAATAGACAAGGCACAAGCTCAGCACACTAGCTGTAGCTTGTAGCAAAAAGATATATGTCTCTCCTTAGTTAAAAATACATAATCCTTTTATTTTAGATTGCAATAAAAGAAATTAACATCACAGACACAGAAGACTAGCAAAGGGGAAAAACTACTTACTTCTGAATATCCAGTAATTTAAACCTATTTGTACTTTTCCATAGTACATGAAAGTAATCTTTTAACACCTTCTGAAGTAAATTTTCTCTTTGGGGATATACAATGTAAATAGGTCTTAGGAGTAATAGTTCCATTCATTTCCAGGTTCGCTTACTGTATGATTAAGTAAAACAAGGCACAGTAGCTATCCTTTCCATTATGTTGCAACACTGATCATGTGCCTTGATAAAACGGCTGATTAGACAAGATGATGGCAACACGAAGGGAAGACTTTGGATTGTCTATTTAAAATCCAGGTAATAAGTAATTAATAAAAAAATTACTTTAAGTGCACTTTCACATGCTTTTTGTTTATAATAAAGAACAAACTTCCTAACTTTCTTACAATAAGCTTAATCACCATTTCATTTGGCCAAATGCACTTTTCCCAGTAAACTTAAAACAACAATAACAACAACAAAAATCCCTGTCCTTTCATATACTAAGAAAGCTACAGAAACAGTTCACTGCAAGACACATGAAGACGACATACTGTGGCATGAGTTGTTTTTAATTTGTTGTGCTGTTGCTAAAGTAAAGTTCTGAGGGCTGCAGTTTAAACATTCCAAGTTCTCCCTTCCATCTTTATTGATTCTCAAGAATTTGCACAGAAAACTCTTTGGGGCTAGAACAGCAGCAATTGCATCACACTGTTTCCAAGACTTCAAGTTTCAAAAGCAAATTGTTAAAAAAAAAAAAAAAAAAAGGTACAGTTCCTGATTTGAGTTAGATACAGGGACAAAAAACAGCACATACTTGAAGGTTACGTAAGTCTCTAAATGATGGCAATATTTTCCTTGGGAGAGTAGTTTTGTTGGTATATAATTTTTAAATACTCAAAAAGGCTCAACCTCAAGCAGTAATAAACACAAGCAAAAGTGATTTAACCCTTAAAATAAATATTCAGAAAAACCTCTCTCTATACATACAAGTGAAAGAATATGTAATACTTTCACACACACACACACACACATACAAAGGAAAAAAATTGTTCATATAAGCAGCTGAAATGTGCTGTTCCAGCCCGTATGTCCCCAATAAAGAAGGGAGGCACAGACACAGATGACTACTGTAGTTCACTATCTTACAGCCGTTTTGTACTGGGACACTATCACCACAAATTTCATCCCTCATTATATTTATTCATTTTTTTTCCCTTTTCTTTTTTTATTTTATCTCATTTTTCTTTTCTTTCTTTCTTTTTTTTTTCTTTTTTACAGCATGCCAAATCCTTTGGCATATGTGATGGCCTTCAATAATCTCTCTTTAAGTTTTTCTTTGCTTGAGTATTCCGGAAGTAAAAGGACATTAAAGCAAGTATGAGATGTAGGTAACCTAAGTAGAGAGAAAGTGGAAAAAAAAAAAAAGGAAAATAGTAAGTCAAAGGAAATATGATCAATATTAAATGATACTACTTTTAGATGGCATGTATAGTTAAGATGCCCTGTAGTACAGACTATATATCAATGAAAATCATAAATATTTTGCTTTACAACCACCACGTATCAGTTTCTCTTTATACTATCAAATATTTAATGCAGCTGCTGCTGCTTCTAAGAGGTACACTGATTTATTACTTTATACTAAATATTATTTTAGGTGCTTAAACTGTGTAGCTCATTTAACTAAATCTTCTCAGAACAAACCCAGAGAGTGGGTATCAGTCTCTCAACTTTATAGTTGAAGTCACTGTGAAATTAAGTGACTTCCTTTAAGGTGGAGATGATATTTAAACCTAGTTTTCAAGACTTCAAATTCTGTGCTCTTTAATGTTTATTAGATATATTGCTAACAATTAAAAAACAAACAAACAAAAAAACCATCCACTGCCATCAAATTGATTGCGACTCATAGCGGACCTTACAGGACATAACTGAACTGCCTCATGGGATTTCCAAGGATGTACATCTTTATGGAAGCAGACTGCCTCATCTTTCTCCCACAGAGTGGTTGGTGGCTTTGGACCACCAATATTCTTGTTAGCGGCTGAATGCAGTAAGTAAGTTTTATATTATTTATATTTTATATTATGTATAAAATAGCATAGAACATTAATGGAACCATTATACATTTTAACCATTAAATATATTGCTGCTCATACATATTAAGTTATACAATGGGGAAAGAACACTAATGGCAATAATACCCAACTAGGGATTCTAGCATCATCTAATGCTGAAAGACCATCAGCTCCTGACCCAAAAGTCAACCATTATTATATAATGTGGTTTTCAATTAATAAATTCTTAACCTCAAACTGAATGAACTGTATTAACTTGCAAAATTTCAGACTAATACGAGCCCTAAAACCATTTTAAACTAGGCCAGCTTTAAAAAGAATTCCTTCAACATTAATAAGAAAATATTCTTTGAACCTAATGTTTCATGTGATTTTAAAAATTTCTATTGGAAGCTACAAGGATAGTTTTATACATGTGTGAAGTAAAATGCAAAGTTTTTAGTATGTAGTCATAATTTCATAATTACCTTTCTGTGTCTGGGCCATTTTTGGCTATGATCATCTTTAATTTTCCTAGTCCTCCCACTGGTGCTCTGTCTGTGCCAGTTGTAAACTGCAAGAACAGTCTTTTCTGCTCATCTGTGAATGAATGAACAATTTCCCAGAACTCCCTAATGAGAAAAGATCTAGTATCAATTTTAATTTGATGATTTATTGTAACTAAGCTCTATTAACATTTTTCCTTAAATCACCAGAAAACAATTTGGAAGCTAGTATCAGACCTAGTGATTGAGTAATCCCATTTACACAAAGTTATCTTAAGGAAACAGTTCTAAATAAAACAAAAGCTTAAGTTCATCATTACATTATAATCACCTGGTGGTATATTATGTAGTAACAGAAGATAAAATCCAAAACTAAAATGTACTGAAAAGGATTGAAAGGAAGTACTTTGAAAAATTAACTCTGAACGTGATCAGATATATATTTTTTATTTACCCCTTCTTCCTTATTCTCCTTGTCCACTCATCCTCTACTTATGTTTCAGGTGGTAGCGGGAGGACAAAAAGAATAGTAAAAAAGAACCACACTTCTAATCACAGCACTACAAACGTATACAAATTTTACATAAACTGGAACCAAGGTGTATGATTTGTATGAGGCAGGGAATTATTCTGGTCTTTCTACCTTATGTGGTTATTTTAAGAGAATGATTTAATCCTTGTCATTCCTAAAATCTATGTAATAAAGTCATGAAATAATGACACAAAGTTATTCTGAGTCCTATCCAACAAAATGCAAGCTCATCAAAAGCACTCTTGACATACTTCTATAAAACCTACACATCTAATGTGAACAATGATTTTCAGCCAAAGAATTTCAAGATTTTAGACAAAGTTTAACAGTATTTTCAGTTGATGACACAATGCATTTTATTATTTATTTGCACAGTTCTTTCCAGAATCTTGGCAGAAATTTTCATACTTCCCATGGCAGTAATTACAATTTCAATTTTTCATATTCTAGTATTCCAATACATTATTAGTATTACCAAACTGTTAATGTTTTTGTTGGTACAATACCATTATATCTGATATTGGTTAAAAGCTTTATTAGACTTCTTGGCTCTCTCCAATCTTTTGCCACTTTGATTCCCTGTCACTCAAACATCCTCCCTGTCTCTCAGTTCCTGCAAACCCCCCCTCACCTAGCAGAAACCATAAGCAACAAAAGGAAAGTAGACATTGGATCTTCAGGAACATTTCTCAGCTAGGACAAAAAGGAATCAGACTACAAGACAGGTAATTCCTCATAGGGCAGCTGGCAAGAAAAACCAAATCTGCTGCAGCCCAGAGCTTTTAGCCAAAAGGGAAAAGCTGATCCTCTCCGAAAGGTACAGAAGCGTTCTGAAATCTGACAGAACCAGGTACATCAGGAAGGCAAATGTAAGGGCGTTCTTGAGTGGAGGAAACAGATCCTGCAACAAGTATCAGGCTAGCTACAACCATAGTGACCAGTATGTCTCTATTACTAAGGAGCTATTTCTTTGCTGCTTTTTGAAAAATCAGAACTTAAGTGAGATTATTTTGTTGTTGTTATGTGCCGTCGAGTCGGACCCAACTCATAGCGACCCCTCCTTGGGTTTCTGAGGCAGTATCACTACGGAAGCAGATTGCCCCATCTTCCTTCTGAGGAGTGGCTGGTGGGTTTGAACCGCCAGTCCTCTGATTAGCAGGCCAGTACCTTAGACACCACGCTATCAGAGCTCCCAAGTGAGAGTATAATCAGTTTATATAATGAAACCCTTACTGACCAAAATTTCTCTCTTCCCAGAAGTGGTGTGTGCTACTTTAAAATTTTGAATGAGAAAATAATCCATCTATTTAGAAAGTTCAAAAGGAAAAGAAGCTTCTAAATTTCTGTATCCAAGTTGTAACTGCATAGATTCAATTCTACTCACATCTCCTAAAATTTATTCAGATCAAAAGGAGAGAAAATCAAATAAAATGACTAAAAGTAGGTGACAGAGTAGCAAACTCTTAACTATTAAATGTGGAACTAAATGGGTAAGACTAACAGAGTTAGCACCTGAGGCTACACTAGCAGAGCCCAACAGGAGCTATATGGAAGAACAAGGAATACAGATAACATTGCTCAGAATTTACTCCCTTAAGCAGCACCAGAAAGGACCAGTGTGAGCCCAAGTACAATGAAATAAATGAACCAGACAGCATCATAAAGGCACTGATGATTAGATTTTCACTGAGACTACAGCTTATAAAAGTAGGCCAGAGCCTGCACACTAACCCTAAAAACAGGGTGATAGCCTGTTAAAGTAAAACTTTAAACAGAACTCAAATGTCCCTGACACAACCCCAAATTACCTGCCATACTAAGATCAAGAAAATTACAATATGAAGAAAAGAAATTCACTGATGCCATAACTGAGATAAATCATACTATAATTATCTAATAAAGATTTTAATGCAGCCATCAAAAAATGATCTTACAAGTGACACATTCTCTTGAAACCAATGTAGCAATAGAAAAATCTCAACAAAGAAACAGAAGTTATAACAAAAAAGAACCAAATGGAAATCACAGAACTGAAAAGCCAGTAAGAGAAAAAAATCGCTGGTCGCATTCAATAGTAAAACAGTAATGAAAGAGAATAGAAATCTGAACAAGAAACAAAAAAATAGATGGAAAAAATTAGCAGAGCCTCAGAGATGTGTGAAACTATACAAAAGATTCCACAGTTGTATCATTAAACTCCAGAAGGAGAGGAGAAAGAGTGAGGCTGAAAGACTAAATATAAAGAAATAATGGCTGAAAATTTTCCGTATGTGACAAAAGAAACAAGCCCAGAGATTATGCTGAGAAAACTCTGAAAGCATAAAAAGGCTGAGGAAGCCCTGAAAAGCATAAAACAAAAGAAATTCATGCAAAGATGTCATAATTCAATTTCTGAAAACTAAAGAGAAAGTTAAAAATCTTGTAAGCGCTAGAGAAAGGACATATTAAGTATAAAAGAACAATAATTAGAATGACAGCAAATTTCCCAGATGAAACCATGGAGGTTAAAAATGAAGTAGTACAATTTTTCAAATGCTGAAAAGAACCATCAAGTACAGATTCCACATGGGTGAAACTACTGTCCCGGAAAAAGGACGAGGAAATAAACTCATCCTTAGAAAAAGAAATACTAAAAGAATTTGATATTAGCAGGCCTACCTTTGATATTTGGCTAAAGAAAGCAATAAAACAAAGAATCTGAAAGCATCAGGAAGGAAAAAAAGAATGTCAATAGCAGAAATATGGGTTCATACAATAGACTATCCTACTCCTCTTGAATTTTATCTATCATTATTTGATGAGTGAAACAAAAATGTAACAGTATTGATATTCAAGACAATATTTAAAAGTGGGGAAGGTAAAGGGACCTTAAATGGCAGCATGGTTGCCACATTTCAAAGTGGTACTAATACCAGTGAAGTTAATTATATGTAGCGTAACACCCAGAGCAACCAAGAAAAATACACAAACTAATATACACAAAAAAGAACACTACAGATAACTCAAGAAGTAAATAATCCTAAAAAATGTTCAAGTAATCATAAGAAACCAAAGCAGAAGTAACAGAAAAGAAATAACAAAATGAGAGGCTTTAGCTCTAACATATCTAATATAATACGTTGTTGTTGTTGTTATGTGCCGTTGAGTCGGACCTGACTCATAGCAACCCCTCCTTGGGGTTCAGAGGCAGTATCACTACAAAAGTAGATTGCCCCATCTTCCTTCCAAAGAGTGGCTGGTGGGTTTGAACTGCCAGCCTTCTGGTTAGCAGTCAAGTGCCTTAGGCACTATGCTACCAGAGCTCTCAATATAATATAATATAATTTTATTATTATATTTATTATATAATAATATAATAACCTTAAATATGTTAAATATGTTGTTGTTAAGTGCCATCGAGTTGGCTCTGACTCGTAGACACCCTATGTGCAATGGAAATTTCCTAAATATAAAATTTATAGGCAGAGACTGACAGAATAGATAAGAAAGCATAGCTCAACTATAATGTTAACACGAAACCCATTTCAAAAACAACATAGATAGGTTTAGAGTAAAATGACCAAAAAAGATGTATCACATAAATATTAATTAAATAAAAAAGCAGGAATGGCTATTTTATCTATCAGATAAAGCAGACTACAGAACAAAGAAAAATACAAGATATAGAAATAAAAGGATCAATCCACCAAGAAGACATTGTGATCCTAAATGTGTACACACCAAATGACAGTCTTACAATCCATGAAGCAAAACCTGGTAGAACTGAAAGGAGAAACAGACAAATTCCAGAAAAAGACTTAACGGATGCAAACTGTATATATGTAAAAAGTATTTCAATAGAGGAAGGCTAGAGTAGTATCTAGAATATATAGATATGAAAAAAAAAGTCAAAACTCAATATTAAAAATAAAAAATTATACTCTTACCATCTATGGTAGAGAAATGAAAACTTATGCTTACACAAAAACCGGCACATGAATGTTCATAGTAGCTCTATTTTTAGTAGCCCCAAAATGGAAAGGACCCAGAAGTCCTTCAACAAGCAAATGGTTAAAGAAACTATGGTAAATCCATATCATGAAATATTACATGTAACAACTTGAATGAATTTCAAAGAAATTTTTCTGAGTTAAAAAAATATACATATATAGATAGATAGAAATATAAAATCACAATAGTTATATACCATAAATGATCAATTTATAGAATATTCTTGAAATGACAAAATTAAAGAAATAGAGAACAAATTAGTGGTTGCCAGGGATTAGGGCAGGAGCTCTGGTAGCATAGTGCCTAAGGCACTTGAGTGCTAACCAGAAGGCTGGCAGTTCAAACCCACCAGCCACTCCTCAGAAGGAAGGTTGGGCAATCTACTTCCATAGTGATACTGCCTCGGCAACCCAAGGAGGGATCACTATGAGTCGGGGCTGACTTGATGGCACATAACAACAACAACAACAACAGGGATTAGGGCAAGGAGTAGGGATGGGGAGGTAAGTGAGTGGAGGTGTGGGTATGGATATAAAATGGCAAAGTAAGGGGTTTTTGTGGTAACAGAACTGTTCTGTATCTTGATTGTTTCACTATCAATATC